AAATTTTCTGTGTTAAATAGTGTGTTGTAAGTTTGTATTATTTTTGAAGTGGAATTATTTCTATTGTACCTTGTATAAGGGGTAGTCAAAACTAGGTTTTAACTTACAAAGAGTTTACCTTAGTAGTATATTCTTATTTAAGGATTTATTTCGGTATTTCGGCTAGTCAGATTTGTATTTGAAATAATGATCCTTGAAGAGACATTGTAATTATGAGATTAAAGTGTTAATTTTTGTGAGTTTGATTAGCAATATCGATGTTCAAGAGTTTTATCTGTTCTCCCTTGTTATGCTGTTAGTCTGTTCACTTTTAAAGTAAACAGTGTGTTTCTGCCTTTTTGTTTGGTTTAGTTTTTTTCCTCCTTATAATTTAGTTTTACTCTGTGTACTTGCATGTTATATATATGTTTGTGTTTTGTGTTCTTTCATTGTTAAAGGATATTTAATTTATGTAAGTACTAAAGGATTATGGCGTCCATGTTGTATGTTCTTACGAACAAGGGAATGTTAACATGCATCTTGTCTATGCTGTAAGTTTAAATTAGTTTTAAATCAAAGTTAATTATCGGCTTGGGCCAAGCCTAAATTAAGGAAGACGGGAAGTGTGGTATAGGTATATACCATAGCTTTCTTTCTTTCTGCAGTATCAATGTTTATTCTCAGCATATCATTTAGTTATAAATATGTGCAGGTTACTACAAAATATATGTCTCGCTGTCATATCAGATATCACTCTTGACCTGGGAAAATTATAGAGGTCCACTGGTCCATTTGTTGAAATCTATTGAAAATGTGACACCACCAAAAGAGATAAACTAAGATTTCTTTCAAGCTAAAAACTAGGTTTCAAGACATTCCAGGTCTGATTCTCAACATCTGCATTTCTCCAGGATTTCGTCCCATGAGAAGGAAGCCTGAAGTGGTATGCACTGATGCAGTGAAAGCAACGACTGGGAAACGGAGCAAGTGCACACACTGTATTTTTGTATTTGTTAAAGATTCTTGTCATTGTTTGTTACACATTGTGGCCAGTATATTGGTTATTCCTAGACTTAAAATCAGCTGGTACTAATTCAACATTGTTCTGTGACAACCACATCTTGTCGAACCTCCTGTTAAGCAGACTTATCCAGTGAAGGTCTATAATATAATCAGTTTTACATGAGAATACCACAGCCATTCCTAATTTTGAACTGACAGATAGAGGGAAGAAAGTAAGTGAACACCACGAACTACCAACTCTTGGGCTACTACTGTCTGATCGAATAAAGGAATTTGTGTGTCACTTCAATGGCCCAAAGAGCAGAGCGTGAATTTGCAGCAACGAGACATAAACTGCGGATCCTTGGCTTTACAGTCTCAAGCTATCCATTAGCACACCCTCAAATGACCAGAAAAAGTCACTCGTACCAGTTGTTACACTGGGCATTTTAAGCATGAGTGTATGAATGTGCATTTTTCAATGGCTTTACAATAGTTTTATTGTGAATTACCTGAAGAATTTTTTTGTCCAAGTGGAAAATATTTAACAATGAAATAAATCAAATAATTTCTCTTCTAATAGTGAAAAATAATAATATTCTAGAAAAAAATTAAAGCCCTGTTTATTTCTTGTAATCACCTCAGCCAACTAAGAAGCAATTACTTTTTGGAGGGTCAAGGTTACGAAAATCCAAAAACTCCCTATCTGTGAACATGGGGACCAATTTTTTACAATATTTTTGTTCTATAACTCTGTCAAAAAGATCGAATTTTGATTAAACTTGGTGGACATATGTAGAATATTATACTTCATTGTCCTGCCAGAAATGGTTGGTGTCCGTTGATAACGAAGGACATTAGAGACACATTTTCGTATTTTTTTAGAGCCGAATATGATTAACACTGCCTAATGGAGGTATGCGTTCTACTGAGTGCCCCTCTTGTTTTATTTGTTTTAGGAAGAAGCATAAATATATAATACATTTACATCACGAAATGATTCTCTGGTGCCTAAAACCTTATAATGCTAAATATCGGGTTTCGATACGGATACCGTGGTGTACAAAGCACAAATAACCAATTGTGTAACATTGTACTTAACAACAAACATTACGAAATTACAACTCCATCTGAGTACATCAGTTCTATTTTTTGTTGTTTTGGTTACAATCGGTGTTTGGAATTAATTGTACTGAAAGATTATTATAATTCATCATATCTTTGGTTGTTTGCATTACAACAAGGGAATGTTCAAGAGGCCCAATATACGTAAAGTGGTGTACTCAGCTGGAAAAAAGATGTACATATTCACCAAGAAGTTCATAAATAAATTGCATTTCTAAAATATACAATTAACGATATTAGGCTTAATGGTGCTTTCTTCACCAGTTTCATTGGAGAAATGTTACAAACAGTAATGTCGCGTTACGAATATCAAACATTTTCTGCTAGAATTATATTCGGCTGTTCCCTCCAACTCTGATGAATATCTAGCCGTAAGAAGAAAGATAAAACAGTTAATACCATAGATATAAATAACGCTAGATTGGCAAGTCACTACTCTTTATCATTGAGTGGCATATGCGCATGCGGCGACCATTGCTATGTGTTGAAGTTCGAATTGGCAAACAATGTAAAATGGCTGAGAGTGAAAGTCGTCCATCTAAGTCAAGACGTGAAAGAACAAATGGAACACAGTGCTATGCCATTAACTGTTACATATACTGTAACCAAGAGTCGAAGGCGGAGAGTGTTACAATCGACAAGTAAGTAAAACCGTGGAAATAGTGGCGACATCGAACTGGCGTAGATGTTTACACCTAGTTTCAATATATATGAGAGTTTTTTGGAAGGTGTTCACATACACAAGTCGGCATGACAGTTTGACAGCTTTTGATTTGAAATGCTGACAAATATTAAGTACTCATATACGTTGAAATAATCATCCTCGATATTCTAATGTTGTTTGCTGGCCAGTCAGGCAATACAGAGACGCCGCCAAAACATACACTATGTACATTCACTTTTGATGCTATCACTGAGTGCCAAGATATATCTATTTATATATATATATATGTAATGGATGAAAGAGAGTAAATTTGGGTTAATTTGTGTGGTTTAAGATAAGACTAGTATGATCAGTGACGTTATGGCTTATCTGGGAAACAATTCAAACATAGGCCTAATATTGTCAATAGACTCATTCTCACAATTACACGAGAGATTAAATTTTTGCAGGTGGCCCCTTAAAGTCCAAAATCCTTGAGCTGTCAGTATCATTATGATAGATAATCAGTATACAGTACAAGTGACCCAAAACATATTGTTGATTATGCTGTAGATAAATATATTCCTGCAGTGTTCTTGAAACTAATCCACTCTACTTAGTTGGAAAAGTTAGGTCTATGTTCTTGGTATTTCTCTACTTAATCATGTTTGTAAGATTTGTGAAATTACTCTGTGGCATACATTACCCACATGACCGTTTTCTGAAAAAACATATTTTAGGCATTGATGGAAAATTCAATTTATATTTCAATCTTTTGATTTGCTATTATAAATGCTGGTAGACTAAAATTATTGCACAATTGTAAATTTTTACAAGTTAAAAAAGGACCATTATAAACTGTATTGAAGTGTCCATAATGGGAAGATGTACTGGCCATGAAAAGTTATGAATGTACATGGTAGAATAAGACTCACAGGTACTTACTTACAGCAAATATTGGACATATATTATGGTATGCATTTGGAAGGAAAGAGCTCAGATCCAAAAAGATGTAGTAGTAGGTGAAGAGAGGGGAGGAGAACATAACTCAGTAAAAAGAGGAAAAGGGAGTCTTTAAAATAATACCATTGCTAAATCTCGTACAGTATATGTAATGCATCATTGATGAAATAGGTGTAATGATTTGTGTTACTTTTTTGTGGACGTCATGTTGTATACTGTTACGACAGCGGAAGTCACGTGACGCTGGTAACACGTGATGAGTTTCTAGAAGGATCCAGTATTTTCTAGACGCCATCTATTTTAGTATATAAGTCGGCAAATAAAGTGACGGCAATAATTGAATAGCAGACAGAGATAGAGAGGGACAATTGAGTCAAGCGCGATAGTAAGTAAAATGCGTGAATCGTTCGTTGTGAATTATAGCGTGTGTTTAAGTTAAAGTGACTGTGGAAATTAAGTGTATTGCAAAGTTGAATTGAGAATGGCTTGTGCATGCGAAAATCACGTGACTTTCAATCTAGTGTTTATATATATATATATATATATGGTTAATACGTCTATATAAAACATTCTTCAATAAATTAAGTATACTATTGTCATCTAGTGGTTATAATCGTTAACTGTAATTTTTTTTTCGATAACAATATTTCAGATTTCTATCTTAATTATCCCCTTTTACCTAATTGTGCTATTTTACTTAAATAATTTTAACAACGAATGATATAATTTTATATATATTTAATTTTATTATTAAAAACAAAGCTGCACAATGGGCTATCTGTGCTGTGCCTACTATGAGTAACGAAACAGTATTTTTAGCGTTATAAGCCTTCAGACTCTCCGCTTAGCTAACAGGGGGAAAACATTTTAACAAATAAAAACTTTCACTGTCAAAAGTTTACTTGTTATAAAAAGAAGAAGATGTAATGCTCAATATTCGCTTCTTTATGTCTAGTGCTCAACAGAAAAACTTAATTCAAGTTTTATTGTATTTTTAGAAACTTCTTAACCTAACAACTACCGGGTAGACTTTGTAACTCTTCTTACAACCTTAATACAATAGAACCAGTGGTTAACAGAATACAGCAACACACACAAAAATAACAATGTAAATTAAGCGGATTTATAAATAAATGTATTATTTTATTAATAATTGAATTTATCTCACCATTTTGTTTGTCTAAACTGGGTCTTTGGACTCAGTTGGTAGTTTCAGTTCTTACAGGAACAAATACCTTATGAAACATACTCTATGATACTCTTTCTCAGAGGTGTTATTATTATTTACCTTCATTGCTTGTAGAATAGGATAAGTAATTGTATGGTCGCCACCCATTGTCAAAGGGATGCAATCATAGAATAAAATATTTTGAATTCCTGTCTTGATGTCTTTCATTGTTTGGTGTATGTCATACATAGCTATTCGAAGATCTCCAATGTCTGCTACCTGTAGTGATTTGAACGGCATGGCACCTGGGAGATCCAATACGAACGTTAATTCACATGTTTTTACAATACTTTGCTTCCTTCTAACCACGCGAATTTTTGTATTAAACTTCTACAATCACAAGATTAAAAGTAACTCCAAGTATATTATTATTGACGCACGTTTTTCAATAAGAAAATTAATATTGCTTACTTCTGTGGACGCGAATTTTTGTATTAAACTTCTACAATCACAAGATTAAAAGTAACTCCAAGTATATTATTATTGACGCACGTTTTTCAATAAGAAAATTAATATTGCTTACTTCTGTGGACGTGAATTTTTTTATTAAACTTCTATAATCATAAGATTAAAAGTAACTCCAAGTATATTATAACTGACGCCTGTTTCCTAATAAGAAAATTAATAATGCTTACTTCTATTGACGCGAATTTTTTTATTAAATTTCTACAATCATAAAATTAAAAGTAACTCCAAGTATATTATAATTGGTGTATGACTTCTAAACATAAAATTAATGTTGCAAGGTTGAATATAATTACGATGATAAATACAAAATAACCAAGTTAATGTTAAGACTTCAGTCGTCGGTTTTTAACTATTAAGGGAATGTCTAGAAAAAAAATCATTTTGTCTTCGTGATCCATTATGTACAATGATTATACAGAATCTGATAAAAATTCACGTATTGATAAACGATGCTTTTATGGGTCTTCTTTTAATTTAAATAACTTGATTTCATAAAAACAATTTATTTTTAGAAAATAAAAAATAATTTTCTGTGATAGACATTGAAATATAGTTCGATTTTTATTATGGAGAAAAATACTTCAAGTTAGAAATGTAATTTCACAACATGTATTGAGTTTGTTATACAAATACGAGTAATATTGTTTGTCATAGTCAGTTTGTAACAGAATGTAATGGTTGCACCAGAAAACTGCAGAAACTCATACTCTTAAGTCCCAGTGTTCTTAGCCCTACGGTTACCTATTATTGATTATTCTTTATAGGTGCTGAATAAATATTAACATAGAGAATAAATGCTTTAGTTAAATAAGAGTAATATTGTTTGTCATAGTCAGTTTGTAACAGAATGTAATGGTGGCACCAGAAAACTGCAGAAACTCATACTCTTAAGTCCCAGTGTTCTTAGCTCTACAGTTACCTATTATTGATTATTCTTTATAGGTGCTGAATAAATACTAACATAGAGTATAAATGATTTAGTTTTTTGTTTTTGTTTTCAAGCACAAAGCTACACAAAGAGCTATTTGTACACTGCCCCCCCCCCGCAAATATCTAAACCCGATTTTTAGCGTTATAAGCCCTCAGACGTACCTCTGTGTCAACGGGGAGGACGAGTATAAAAACATTGGATGTCTTATCACAGATATTGAAAATAGGCAAATTGAATTTTAAGTATAACACTTTATTATTTTTAAAACATATTGTTTTATTAATTCAATTCAATTGCACAAATATTAGGGAAACAATTTATCGCTAAATAAAAAAAAGCCATGTAGAGCTGGCTACTGAATTTGAAAAATGGAACCAAACAAGATAGGGATGGAAGTGGACATATCACTTGATTCGGCTAATAATCACATAGCAAACTAAGCCGTCTCGACTTAACATGGAGAATAAAAATCCTACATTACTGGCTTCTTCACTTTGTCTATCAAAAGCTTGGTGTTTGAATAGAATCTCAGCTTTCGTCATTAAACCTTTCTTTTAGTTCACTTTAGAATACTACTTTTATGATTATTTGATAATAGAGTAACATTTTACGATTGGAAATTCTGTTTCTATTTGTTTTGTCAGTGAGGAAGCCAGTAATGTAGGGAGTTTATTCTCCATGTAAAGTAGAGACAGATTAGTCTGCTATGTGATCAAGTAATATGTCCACTTCCATCCCTATCTTGTTTGATTACTTTTTTTTTTCAAGTTCAGTAGCCAGCCCTACATAGCTTTCTTATTAGTGACAAATTTTTCTCCTAATACTTGTTTGTCTATTTTTTTATAATATGGCGTACGTGTATTCTAAAGCTATTTAAGTTTTGCATAGAATAATAAAAAAAATAGATAGTCAAAGATCGTGAAAATTATTTCGCTCTATCAAATGATGATAAAATTATAGTTACTGATAGAACTAGGTAGGCGCTAAATCTGTTGAAGAAAGATGCTGATATACGAAAATAAAAAAAAAAATCTCAGTTTTGGCTATTCACCAGTTTCGACATTGGGACGCCCTAGATAGCTAAAAAGCGGCATATACACCAGAGAAATAGTGACTATGCCAACATTGCCAAGTAGCTCTTTATATATAGCTTCTGATGACATGTAGAGAAGAAAATCCAGACGACTTTTGTATTGCTTTAATACGGGGGTCTGTGCCATCCCTACATAAAGAGTGCTAATGCAGTCTCCGATTATTAGATCTTCACATGCCTGAATCGATTGAAACTTGCCTAACACGCTAGGATCACATTACATGGTAACTAATTCTTTATTAACTTTTAAAAAATACAATAAAAACATAAATAATTCCTACTAACAAAGTTCACAACTAAAACAATATTTTATTTACTGATGACTCTCTAGAAAACATAATATTATAATCACCTGTACTTCCATTAAGAGGACGTAACATTACAGATTCCGTGCGTATCTGTCTTGGTCCAAACCTAGCCCCAGATCTGTTGGAGGTACCATTGTCAAACGGAACTCCAGTAAAACAGACATCTAGTCCTGAATACAGAAAGGAAAATATTATATTATATTATGAAATATTATAATGTACTCCTGACTCACTCGATTATTCTATCTCTTTGTAGACAATACGACTCATACTGATAAAACAGCTCAGAATACCTTTTTCAATTAATTTCGTAAGTTACGAGTGAAATGAACAGTAGTTTTAGAACCCCTACCTCCAAACGGACACCTTTTTAGAGATATTATTAGAAGTGTATGCTTTCCAGTATTTGAACGTATATATAAATGGACTGCTTAGTATCTTTGGGATTGAACCAGAAGCTAAACTATTCTGTTCCTAGCCTAAATTTTAAACGTGTGAAAAAGAACATAAAAACAGTTATTGATGCATGCTATAATACCTACAAAATTCTGCATTCGGGAAAAATAGTAGATATTTTAAATCAAGAATTGCCCGTTTAGAAAAAATTATCACACTTGATTTCGTAAAAAAAAAAAAAATGATGGGACGATGATTCTCTAGATCGTTTTTTTTTCTTTGTCAACAAATAACAGTACAAACCACACTAAACTCAAACTACTGCATACATTTTAATCCAATAAAAATGCAGGCTTCCTGTAAAATATTAGTGAATTGGAAACATGCAAACCTAAATTAACATCTTCCTCTTCAGTAGCTTTATATGTGAGGAGTGAATTGCATCCTGTTGAGTTAGAGCATATTAAAGAAAATAGCACCGAGGTTGAGTCAGTTAGGGTTAGTAGATATGAAGGGAGAAGTCTTGTAATTGGGATTAGTTATAGACCACCAGGTCAGAGGGTGAAAGTTAATGATAAACTGTATAATGATATGAGAATGGAAGCTGAAAAAGATGTTGTTATTATGGGAGATTTTAATTTCAGGGGTATTGATTGGGAAAATTTCGAGTCTGACAGTGAGGGGGATAGGTTTTTGGAAATTGTTCAGGATACTTTTATACACCAACTGGTGATGGAACCTACAAGAGAAGAAGCTATATTAGATTTAATATTAGCATCCGATGTGAATATGATTGACAGAGTTGTGGTTGGTAAGCATTTAAGTAGAAGCGACCATTGCACTATTAAGTTTGGAATTTTACTACATGTAGAATTGAGGAAGAATAGTACCATGATTCCAAATTTCAGGAAAGTCAATTTTGGTGGAATGAGACATGATCAGGCTTCTGTATATTGGACTAAAGAGTTGGGAGGGGATTTTGAACAGATGTGGGAAGCATTAAGGAAAAATTTATTATGCATACAGAACATACGTATTCCCTACAGCAAAAAAAAAAGGCAACGGAGCGGAATAAGCCAGTATGGTTTAGTAAAAGTTTAAGAGATCATATTAGGGATAAACGTAATATATTCAAGAAATTTAAACTTACTGTAAATAATAAGAACTTGGAGGACTATAGGAAATCCAGAGAGCTGGTTAAAAAGGAAGTTAAATGAGCAAACAATGTATATGAAAGAAGGTTGGCTAAGAGAGTTAAATCAAACAATAAGAAATGCTTTAGGTATATGATGGGCAAGCAAAATGTTAGGATGGGGATTAGGCCTCTTAAAATTGATAGTGGTGAGCTCATCTCTGAAGATTATAAGATGGTAAACTTATTAAATTATATGTTCTCTTCCGTTTTTACGAAGGAAGATACAAGTATTATGCCTCAATCAGAGGATTATAAGCTGGTAAACTTATTAAATTATATGTTCTCTTCCGTTTTTACGAAAGAAGATACAAGTATTATGCCTCAATCAGAGCACTTAATGTATGGAGAAAATATTGATGTAAAATATATCATTTTAAGTTCTGAAATTGTAAGAGAAAAGTTGGGAAACATAAAAATTGATAAATCCCCCTGGAGCAGACAACTTTTATCCTAGAGTTTTAGAGGAACTTAAAGATTTTATTTGTGAACCGCTAGCTAATATTTTTTATGGGTCATTGAGTAGTAGAAGAAAATTAAAATATTGGAAGTTGGCTAATGTTAGTCCAATATTTAAAGGAGGTGATAAACATTGTCCAGGCAATTATAGGCCAGTTAGTCTTACACCAGTAGTTGGAAAGTTTTTGGAGAGTGTGATTAAAGATGCATTGCAGAGTTACTTAAAGCAGTTTGATATAGTGTCAAAGAGCCAGCATGGTTTCACTAAGGGAAAGTCTTGTTTAACAAATCTTCTGACATTCTTTGAGGATGTTACTGCAAGAATTGATGAAGGAAATACTGTGGATTTGGTTTACCTTGGTTTTCAGAAAGCGTTTGATAAGGTGCCTCACAAAAGACTTGTTACAAAAATTAAATATGTGGGTGTGAGGGAAATGTTATTAAATTGGATAGAAAATTAGCTGGAGAGTAGAAAGCAGAGAGTAGTAATAAATGGAGTTAGATCTGACTGGATTACAGTTACAAGCAGTGTGCCTCAGGGTTCTGTGTTGGGTCCTCTGCTGTTTGTGATTCATATTAATGATATTGACTCTGGAGTGATTAACAAAATTTTGAAGTTTACAGATGGCAAAGATTTTTGGGATGGCTAACTGTATCAATAATGCTGCAGACTTACGGGGAGATTTAGATCATTTGATGCATTGGGCCAATACGTGACAGATGATGTTTCACAATTCAAATTACTGTTACAATTTAAATGGGAATACGTCAAATACTGTGGTTTAAGAAATAAGATCTTGATGTTGTGATAAAAAAATCCATTAAATCATCTAAATGGTGTATTGTAGTTAGCAATAGGGCTATTAGGATTCTAGGTAGCATCTATAGAAATATTGAAAGAAGATATTATTGCTTCACTGTATAGATCACTTGTAAGTCCTCATTTAGAGTACTGTGTACAATTTTGGGCTCCCTTCCTCAAGAACGACATTGAATTGTTGGAGAAGGTTAAGAGAAGAGCTACTAGGACGATACCTGGGATGGTGGGATTGTCCTATGAGGAGAGACTAAAATCTCTAAACAAGTTTTCTCTGGAAAGGAGAGGGGTCAGAGTGGATTTGATTGAGGTGTTTAAGATTATTAAGGGTATTGATAATATAGATCCATCAAACTTTTATGTGTTTAGCACTGAAAACAATAGGACAAGGAGTCATAAATTCAAATTTTGGCAGTGTTGGAGTCATCTGAAGTTTATACAGTATTACTTTTCAAATAGGATGGTTAGCTTTTGGAATGAGCTGCTTTCAAGGGCGGTGATGGCAGAAAATTTATTTGACTTCAAGAAAAGATTGGATTAATACATGAATAGTAACGGATGGTTATAGTTGGGAGCTGGAAGGACATCCTTGATGGGCTAATAAGCTTCTGTTTGTCCCTTTGAAATTTTATGAATTTATGAAATGTGCTATGTATTTACACAGTTTTCTCTATATGTATTATAATTTATTGTAAATACACCCTGTACTTTTGCCCGGCAACCCAATCACAGCCTTGATAATAGTGACAGATCTTCTTGTATTTTGCATGGTTGTCACACACTGTATCCTAGCGAACTAGTTTGGTTACACACTTACACCAAAATTAAAATAAGTTATGTCTTCTCAGTATCTGAAGTCGATGTTGATTAATGCACATAAAACACAACAAACAGCAAGAGGTTTTTACTCTAATACAATAATATACACTTTAAAACTACACTATGCTGAAAAATTAAAAGCATGAAATACATTTAAATACAATTATAAAATTGTCATAAGTTACATGCATGTTTCACGGATCCCGTTGTGAGAATGTATGGCTATTTCGGCGCATTTTGCAAGTGCTACTTGCCATGGAAAGGCAGTACCTCCATTTTGTCTTCACCTCCAGGTTCGAGCCTTGTTGATTTGTTATCTATATTATGGCTTCGTTTTTGTTTATTATTGTATATAAACGTGTTAGAATATTGATAGTGAAGGTTTTTGAGATAAATAGAGGTTATCAGAGCTGTTCAGCTTTGAATTAGGCAAATACATACGTAAGTGGTTCATATTGAGAAGGTTATTAGACAAATGGTCTATACAGTAGACAGTCTGCACAAAGTGAACTACACTTCATAATGACCATTGGCTACATAACATGATCATTAGGTATCGACAATCCATTGTACATTGGCTCAATATGGAGTTCAGGACAGCAACTTGACTGATTAGTAGTGACTAAGGAAGGCACAGACTTCATGTTCCCAACTTAAGGTCGAGAGCATTTACTTCAGCCTGTAGTTCATCACCTATGTGGCCTTTGGATGTAAGCAAAGCGCAGTGTTTTAAAAATGTCAAAAGTATTTGAGATAGTTGTAGGAAACTTTAAAATTCAATTCCACTGACTCTAACTAATGCTACAAGAAAATCCATGCACGATTTTATTGGTTCATTGTGTTTTATATTTTGAATTCGTTTAAGTCACGCAGGACTATTAAATTGATTTTGTTGTTGTATTTGCTTTTTTGTGCCATTTTGACTACATAACCAGCAACGTATTCTACAGCTTTTTATTCAGAGGGAAAAAGTAGTGCCAAATTTGGTGCATCTTCGTAATCATGGTCATCCTGTATAGGCTCACGAACTTCATCAAACACGTTTAACACATCTGTAGAAGGCTAAGAGAGCTGAGGGTACGACAGTATCCCTTGGCTTGAAGTGCTTCCTATTATATACAATAGTTTCGATTTTGTTCAATGATTTCCAGCACTTCCACTACAGAAATTATTTCATCGTTAATGCTAGGAAATGTCATATAATCTCTTGTGACATCGAAAATTTTATGTTTCATCCAGGACAGTACAGTTTTTGTTACTTTTATTTCATGACATATGAGCATTGTTTTATATGTTGCTGTGAACTGTCTAACAGTGGTGTTATTACAACCCCAATATAACCTAAAAACAACAACAACAACAAAAAAGAGTTCCAAGTGACCCTAGCTTAATTTACATGTGAAAAAATACTTCAAGGAGGGTGAAGATACTGATACTAGCTCTGATGATGGTAACTAAGATACCGAAACTAGTCGGCTGTATAACTAATAATAAATAAATTTTATTGTGCTCTTCATTGTGTCAAAAAAAATGTTGTTGTTTTTTTTTGTTTTTTACTCTTTAATATTTCTTATTTTCTAAAATTTTCAAAATTTCTAACATTCCGATACATTTGGCACATGTGAAGTATTTATAGCATGCTGATGATCTACTTAATCTTCTTGTGCTAGTTACACACGGTAAACGTTTGTCGCAATTTGGTATTTTTAGTCTTTCCCATGAACAATGTCTCTTGAGAATTTTTAAGACTTGTGTTAATATATTTTTTGTGCCATAAGCCGTGAAGAGGTTTAAAAATACCTGAACACTCCATTTCCTTTTTTGTAATTAGATGACCAGATGACATATTAGATTAATAAATGCACTTTGGGACAATTAATTTAAAGTTGTCGATTTTCTCAGCTTTTTCTACATTTTCTTTTCCTTAGCATCTCTCAACTGTTTGAAGTGAGTACGTCTTTCATCTGTGTACCAGATGAATGAATTGTGTTTGTCTGATTTTGGTGGCCCCGCATGGTGGGGTGGTTAGGTCGCTCGACTCGTAATCTGTCACACCAAACATGCTCGCTCTTTCACCAGTAGGAGCATTATAATGTGAAGGTTAATCCCACTATTCGTTGGTAAAAGAATAGCCCCAAGAATTGACGGTGGGTGGTGATGACTAGCTGCCTTCCCTCTAGTCTTACACTGCTAAATTAGGGACGGCTAGCGCAAATAGCCCTCGTGTAGCTTTGCGTGAAATCCATAACAAACTGTCTTTTGTACTATTAAGTAACATGTTTTTGTACTATTAAGTAACATGTTTTTGTTTTGTTGGCAAATTTATGCGATATTTCTTTCCTCTGTAGAGTCAAGTCAGAATTCAGGTTAACTCTATGATACATATTCTCTGAAACTTCTACTCAAAAGGGTACTATTCTTGCCTATAGGAAGTGAGTGCACCTTATAATACTTCAAGTGCACTCATATTCCCATAACTCTTCTCTGCGAATAAATGGTGCTCCTAAAATGTTCTATAATTCATCTTTCTTGTTCATTTGGTCATAGAACAAGTGAAATTATGTCTAATAGCATTATCCACAATCACATGACATATAATAGAATAATTAATCTAAAAATCTGATACTTATCAAATGTTTTTTTTCTCATATAATTTGATATTCGCCTACTCTATGCACAGTATAAAAAACAACAGCATAAAACATTCTTTCGTTTGCGGTGATGGATTCAAATTGAACAAATATCTGTATGTATGCATATAATAGAATAATTAATCTAAAAATCTGATACTTATCAAATGTTTTTTTTTTTTCATATACTTTGATATTCGCCTACTCTATGCACAGTATAAAAAACAACAGCATAAAACATTCTTTCGTTTGCAGTGATGGATTCAAATTGAACAAATATCTGTATGTATGCAAATAAAAAAGGGGCTGAAGAAAGAAATACTATTTCTTTAACTATTTGTTTTTCGCACAATTAATATACTTCTTAGATAAATCTACTTGGTCTAATTACCAAAATCGAATCTGGGCATCCCCAGAAAGTTTTCCGTGGGGGCAAAGTCAAAATCAAAGGACGATGGATCCGCCTTTAAAGTTTTGCCATTATGGTCAAGATAATAGGCAAGCTCCCACAGTCAGATTTGATGGGTTTAATATTTGTAAGGTTAGTTTAAGCCATACTGCAGTAAATTTTGGTTGACTCTGACCACGCTGTCTCATGGGATGTTTGATAACCTGCTGCCAGTATTACCGGCAGGTGGCAACAGGTTGGCCCTGATGGCACTGTGTCAGGGCTCAGGGGATGTCTTTGATGACCTGATTGATAATAGCCATGTCCAATATATCCAAGAATCCGCTTTGGTTGTGACGTTTTTCAATATTTAGCTACAGGGTAGGTATCTAGAAATTTTAAGTAAAGTTGATTACAAACGTCGCGACTTTTATTAGAATTGAAAATTAAATGTAGTAAGTAGTGTGAAATTGTGAAGTGAATACAAAACTTGTAAATATAGATATATATATATATGTGTGTGTTGAATGAATAAAGAAAAAATATGTTTCTCATTTTCCAGGTGGGCAAGTTCCGCCTTGCCCCTCCCTCTACGAACGCCCATGAAAGGGAGGTAGCTCGCTCTCCGATCTATCATGGTACGAAGACAAGCATTGTGGTCAAAGATTAGAAACTGTTAAAGGCTGTGGTATCTACACACACATCTACACCAACGTTATCTTATATACAAGTACTAGTACAACTAAATATTGTTTGTTTGTTTTCTTATTAAGCGCAAAGCTACATAATGGACTATCTTTGCTCTGCTTTGTTTGTTTGTTTGTTTGTAATTAAGCACAAAGCTACACAATGGGCTATCTGTGCTCTGCCCACCACGGGTATCGAAACCCGGATTCTAGCGTTGTAAGTCCGCAGATATACTGTGCTACTGGGGGGGGTGGCTTTGCTCTGCCCACTGCGGGTATCGAAAACCAATTTTAAGCATTATTAGCCCTCAGACTTACCGCTGAGCAACACAGGGCATCACACAGGCATGTTCTATACGTTTATAAAATATATACGGTTAAAAATTAAAGAATACAAAATATGCACAAAAATCTGTAATAGCTAGTTTCATAACCCTCGTATTACTATAAGCAGATGCCTTATCTCTTGGTTTACTGCACGCGCTCTGAAGTTTGTATTTCTAAATAGCATATGCTAAGATAAATGTAATAAGGAAAAATACATTATTTAAATATCCAAATATATATTTAAGTTCGAAACTTTAAGACTTACCTTCAGCTGAATTTTGTACGGGTAAACGCATAAACGACGCTATTCCAGCAGGCCGTGCAAGATCGCTCGACGCCGATGGAGGCTGGTTGAATGTTTTGCTACAACGAGACTTATAACTGCAACTAATACATCGCTTAGATGAAGTCAAAATGTCAGCATGCGTTTGATTTAGAGTTCTTGACATAAATGATACGAAATTGTTGTGTTTGGAGTTAGATACATAGCGTAAAGATAATTTAAAATTAATAAAGAGAACCATCTTTAATGATTTTGCCTAATTGTGCGCCACCTACCAATTCTTCGTTTCTGCTGCAAACAAAGAGAAAGTCTCGTACGATTTTTATCAGAGTACTAACGTAATGGATTTTTCGCTTGCTAATTATCTTCACTTTATTATCTAATATACAGTTTTAAAACTATTAAAACCAAGGCTTATCACTTTCTTTCACAATAATTATGTATGTATTTAAGTTTTTTTTTTTTAACTTAATCTAGCACATCGCTAGGAGAATATAAGATTTCATAAGTATGCTTTTTTCTGAGATACGTCCTAATTAACCATACAAGTGAATAAACAAAGATGAGGCTACATATATAAGGTATTTTAAAGGTAACTTAAAACTGTTTTGGTAGCGTGTTTATTTTGCGAACACAAGTTCAAAGCGTTATGATTATTTGTGTTCAGATAATAAATTTATATTTTGTTTTGTTTTTTGCTAATTAATTCACATTATCGTGAAAAATATTAATGTTTTACAAATTCAAACTTATAATATGAGGAATAAAGAGAACTTTTAACAAATTTCATATAATATGCCCCTTTTGAACAACTGTGCAGGAGGGTGAAATATTAGGGGATGGCGAGAGGGGGGATGATATTGTTGAGTATCTGCTCATTTGTTAATTTCCGGTAAAAATTCATTCCGAGGAACTTAATTAAATCTAGTTTATTCTTTCTCGATACAACTTTGGAATACATAGAATTTTCACAGTCACTTTAAACTTAACAACCTTTATAACACACGCTATAAATAACAGTGATTCATACACTTTACTTACAATGCCTTCTGTTCGCTTGACTCAATTATCTCTATCTTCAATCTATCTACATATCTATCTCTCGCTGGCTTTATTTGCCGAGCTTATATACTAAAAAAGAGGGCGCCTGGCAAACACTCAGGCATTCGCGGGTTCCTCTATAAGTCATGACTCTTCTAGAAACTCCAGCGCGCATGCTCCCAACGTCGAGTGACTTCCGCTGTCGTAACAATATTAATTTAATATTCTGAATTCACTGCGCTCAGCAATCAATTGTAAATTATATTGGTGCGACAGCGGTAGTCACGTGACGCTGGTAACACGTCATGATATTCTAAAAGGAACGGGGAACATCACGAATAATCCAGTATATGCTAGGCGCCCTCTATTCCTGTATATAAGTATGCCGGATAACGTGAGACAAATTAATCGGAACTGAATTGCAGACAGGCAGAGATAAAGACGGACAATTGAGTCAAGCGTGGTAATGACCGTAAGTAAGTGCGTGAATCATTGTGAATTATAGCGTATGTTTAAAAGTGACTGTGGAAATTAAGTTTT